AATTTTTGGAAAAAGGCAGGGTTAAGGCCATCGGGACTAGTGCTTTATTCGGATGCATCTGGAACACTGTATTCCGGACCTCCTCACTGGATATAGTCCCTTTTATTAACATATTGTCTTCCACTAAAACTTTAGGTTGAACCACTCCTAATAAACACAAACTGTTTGATTCAATTGGAGCAAAAAAATTCATTAAAATAATTATGCACCTTGTTTTGCATCTCCCCCAAATCGATAATCCATTAGTCATCTGTATCTTGCAACCCAACAATAGTGTTGTTTCTCCTCCTTACCTTAATTTTAGTATGAAAGAATTTGTTGTTTTTATTGCCATAACACATCCAAAATTGCTTTGCTATTTGACAATAGCACATGTCCTTTCAAGCAAGGATTTGGCTCCATTCATCTCTAAGATGCTGATCATCCAAAGAGAGATTTGAATTCCTATTAGACTCCATCATCCATTTAATTAGCTGCTTTTTACACCAAAAATCTATGTTCCTACCCCCTAACCTACTGCTTCAGCATCACGGTGCATGCTTCCTTATGCTCCATCATGTTAGTACTTGGAACTGAATGAGCATCCTGCTCAGCCAACTAATGATTACCAAACCGTGACCTATTAAGATTATGTCCATGCTCAATCAGTTTTGTATTTGATTAAAAGTGGGTCATGATCAGATGTGGGAGCAACTAAAGCATTCACGGTAGCGTCTTGAAAATAATTGGACCAAGTCTGATTTGCCATGGCACGATCCAATCTTTCGTGAGTAACAATCTACCTTGCCTTTTCATACGACAAGTAAATTGATACCCTGCTGCCAGTAAATCACAGAGCCCACATTCTTAAACTGTTTCTGGGAAACTATTAAGAAGGAAATTAGAATACTCGCTGCCTCTCCATTTTTCTTCAATAGATGCTAAATGGTTATAATTGCCTACACATGGCTAAGGCCGAGAATCTTATAAAGAAAGGGCTAGCAAAAGGTTCCAAGTGGCGCATCGACGGTTCCGATTTGACATCTCATAGTATCCTGTAAACCTCCACTCCAAATAAGGAAAAGAGAGAAAGATATCAATATAATTTTGTTGAATCCCATAACTACGAACTTAGTGCTATTTTTCCAAAAAAGGCCAAGTCCCCCACTTCTACCAACACAGTCGACAGCAAAGAAGTTGTCAAAATTTAAAAACTTATACACCTCCTTCAATCTAACTTCATGGACCAATATCTCCATCAAAATTACCACTTTAGGCTTATAGCTCAAAGTCAAATCTTTGAGTGCTTATTCTATTTAAGGGTTACCAGGCCCCTGACAGTTCTAACTAAGGATGATCATAGCTTCCAGCCATCCCATTTGACGGGATCGGCCGATATCTTCTTTATCGACTTAGGACTAGTCGAGTTGTTGCTTGCAGGTGAATGCAAGAGCATAGAAATACTAGTAGCATGTTTAGTTTTAGTGCCACTTTTACGCCTCTTTTTAGGATAAGGCTTAATGAGACCATCCTCTTCCTCCAGGCCCATATCTTTATCCTGACCCATAGTAAAAGAATTTGTATCCATAAAGTGATGTTGATTTTCCATATCCTCATCATTGATAGACTTCCCATAAAAAGCTCGACGAAAATCATTGGCTGTAATGAGAATTGAAGGTCATCCAACACATCCCTTACCATCCGTAGTTAAATTCATTGAGTCTTCCTTTCCATACTCACGTAACCACCTGCTCTGTGGCTAGGAATTTCGACGAGGTGGAACCCTTATCTGATTGTCCTAAGATAGAACCAACTCCTCCTTCTTGTAATGTAGGCGAAGATCACAAAAAGAGTCTGTATAATCCAATTTTCCACATAAAAACCAAAACACTAGCAGCTTTTCGTATCGAAACTCGACATAAAATATCGAGCCATCGGAACCCACCAACCTTTAATTTAATTCAAGCCCAAAATAGAAAAATTATAATTTTCTATATTAGTAAATTAGCAAAATTTATAAATTTAAATAATGGCCTAACCAATAATTTCACTTGAACTTTTCGAGTAGTTGCAATTTCATTCTAAATCGACCTTTATACCCTTGGCACCCTGAACTTATCAATCTAGTTGCAATTACACCCTAATTTGCTTTTAGGTTGCAATGGTACCCTAAAAGTGAATTAGAGTACCATGAACTTATAATTTGTTGCAATTTCACCCTAAAAATAAATTAAGGTTGATATTATAATTAAAATAATATAAAAATAGACTCTATAACCAATCCAAACTTAGTTAGATGTAATAGATAACATTTGAATTAAAAAGAAATAGTTTATCATTTTGCCTCTTTTGTCCTTCAACTTATTATCTTTCTTCTCTTGTAGGAAATTAGATATTGGCTACAACGATAAAGACAAAAGAATCAACATATTTGTTTCATCATCTTAGGAAGTGTAACCTTGAATTAGTATCCAACTCATTATTTTTGCATCTTAAAATTGGTATAATTTTAAAATCAAAGACGCAATCTTGATTTTTTTTTTTTTGTTTATTATATGAATACTTGAATTTGATTTCATTATTTATTGTTTAAAACACTTGGATTGGCTATAGAGTCCATTTTTTACATTGTTTTAGTTAAATATTTTTGGATCCCTAAATTATGATCAAATTAACACTTAGATCCCATAACATTTGAGTAATTATTTTGAAGGACCTAAATAATACTGCCGTTATACTCTGAGGCCCTTCCATCCAAATTTTTATCTTTTTCTGTTTATATGGGCTGAAAAGCGAATATTAAGTGGGGTTTAAATATTTTTGAATCCCTAAATTATGATCAAATTAACACTTAGGTCCCTCAACGTTTGAGTAATTATTCGTTTTTCAGCCATATAGGTAAGAATTTGAATGGAAAGACCTCACAATGTAACAGCAGTATTATTTAGGTCCTTTAAAATAATTACTCAAATGTTAAGGGATTTAAGTGTTAATTTGATCATAATTTAGGGACTCAAAAATATTTAACCTTGTTTTAATCAAAATGTCAACCTTAATTTATTTTTAGGATGCAATTGCATCCTAAAAGCAAATTATGGTATAATTGTAACTAGGTTGATAAGCTTAAGATGCTCGTGATACGAAGGTTGATTGAGGGCGAAATTGCAACTAATCAAAAAGTTCAGGGTGAAATTGTTGGTTAGGCCATTTAAAATCGGCTCAACCATTCCGGATATCCTAAACTTTATGACTTGTAACAATTGCACCCTAAAATAAACTTAACTCTCAAACACCCCAATTTTAAACTTTGTTAAAATTGCACCCTAATGACAAATTCAATCAAAATTGAAATTAAAATATAATAAACGTGGGACCTATATAAGTTAGCTAACCCAACTTTAGTTAGCAAGTTCTAAACACACTGTCTTATCTCCCCTAAAATTCCTCTTTCTTTGTGTTTCTCTCAACGGCACCGTATCTTTTTCTTCGTTAATGAAATTCTTTTCTCTCTCTGTCTCTCTCTACCACACTGTCTCTTTTCCTTCGTCAATGATCTCCCTAAAATTCCTTTCTCTCTTTGTCTCTCTCTACGACACATCTTGTCTTTCTTAGTGAAGCCAATATGTTTAAGTGATTTTGGGAGTGGGTTTCTTAGGAATTTTTACTATTATAAAGCTTCAGATTTCAGTTTTAGCTCCTTTGACAATGCAGTCTCTGAATTCTTGATGAGTTATCTAATGCTTATAAACATTTTTCCCATCTTCTTTTTTAACTCCTAATTTATTTTTTATTAATCATAACACTCAAAACTTTATTATATAAGCTATTCAAGTGGATTAAGTTCGTTTCTTTCATATTTTAACTTTTTCTTATTTATGCACAAATTTTCCTTCTGCTGGAATTCATAGTGGCTGTGTTTTTCTTTCAAAGATTTTGTTTTCATCTTCTAGGTTAGGTGGATTCTAGATTACTGTTAAACTTTGAATGTATTTTGGGGAATAATAGTAGTGCAATTATATATTATCGATTAAAACATTATTTGGTGTTTAATTAAATAAAAGGAGATGGGTACATTACATCACTATCAACAAATCTTCTATACAATTTTGATTTCGTTCTCTGTCAATGGAAAAATCATTTATTTCTTTATTCTGTAATGATATATCATATATCATATTTTGTGTATTTTAACCATCAGATTTGTTTATTGAACTTGAATGTGACTAAGCAAATGATGTGTTCTTGGTTTCTTGCTCAATGAAAAGAGAAGATAAGTGTCCAGTTTAATGAAGGAAAGAGCCAAGCTATAGAGAGAGAGAAAGGAATTGTTGAAGAAGAGAGGGCTAAATGGCGTGCTCAGTACATGCTAACCAAAGTTGGATTAGCTAACTTCTGTGGATGCCATGTTTATTATATTTTAATTTTAATTTTGAATGAATTTGTAATTAGAGTGTTTTAATTTTGAATGAATTTGTAATTAGAGTGTATGGAGCTTAAGTTCATTTTAAGATGTAATTATTACAAGTCTTAAAGTTAAGAGTATCCGGAATGATTTAGTTTTTAACCATCATAATATTTTTGTAATAGTTTTAAGTTTTTTAAATTGTTAAAAGTTAATGGAATTTTTTTCTTTGACAATTTTCTAATAATTTATTTAGTTAATAAAATTTAGATATTTTAAAATTATAATTTATTTATAAATTTGGAGTCAAAATTTTATTAAACTTTTTTAAAATTTACATAATATCAAAACCATATTAGAACTGTAATTCGAATGGCCAATTTATCGGAAACATACCGAAATCGGCCATAATTGAACCAGGAGGTTTAAAATTGATTCTGAATTAAAATTTTAAAAATCTCGAACCGCTGGTCCAATGAACCGAAATCTGCGGTTCACTCAGACTGCCGTGCCTATCTCTCCCTGCAGTGTAATAAACCGGCTAGGAGAAACTTGGCGGGGGGTTTTCCCGCCAAAAACGAACGGAAAGTAGAGAATAGCTTAAAACAATGGACGACGCAGCAAACTATTGCAGATTCTCTGTACAAAATTCACCGACTCAACGGCGAGAGAGACGTAGACAGCAATCGAAATGGACACTGCACAAGCAGCGCCGACTGGATGCTTCAAATGCGGGCGCCCAGGCCACTGGTCGCGCGACTGCCCTGATTCAAATCCTAATACTAACCCTAACCCCGACCCTGTTGCTAATTCTAAATTTAGCAATCTCAGCAATTCGAATTCTTCTAGATCGTTTCCTTTCAAGCCCAGTAATGGCGATTCGAAGCCTAAATCGGAGAAACCTAAGAAGGTGCCCAGAACAAGGCCAAAACTCACCCCTGAGATTCTTCTAGGCGACGATGGCCTGGGCTATGTTCTTCGCCATTTTCCTCGCAATTTTAAGTATCGTGGCCGCGGACATGAGGTATTCATTAACATTTTGATTTCAGTCTTTTGAAATTTTGTTTTTCTACTAGTTTGTTAAAACCGATATTAATTCGAATGATTAAAATTGATCTTAAGTAGTTTAATTCTGATTTGCAACCGATTTTAAGAACTTTCTGCTATCTTATATTTGGATTCGGTTATTGATTTGTGAAATTAAAAGTCTCTATTTGGTCGGAACAGATAGAAATTAGAAAGTAATTGAAATTTGAAAGGCAAAGAAAGGATGAAGTTTTATTTTTCTTGCCATTGGTTAGAAGTTAAAGGAAATCAAAGATTCTCACTTTAACATTGCTGACTTAATCATGGTTATTCGAGTGATCTGAGATTGACTTGATTATGATAATATGGAACCACTGGATTTTCCTCTTAAGTCACATGTTCATATACAGGTTACGCTTAATCCTTTTTTTTTTTTTTTTTTCACATGGCGAATTATGGAATCCCTCATAAGAAATCACAATTTAAAGTAAGCTCTTTCTTGAAAAGTCTTTATGAGAATGAGGAATAGTTAGTAAATCTAATCGAATTGTACAACAACTAAGGAAATCCAAGCAACATTGGTTGTCAAAGGCGCACTAAGTGCACAAAGTGCAAGAAGAACTTGAGGTGCATAGTTCTTTAAAGTTTATGCAGAATCTGGTGCAATTAAATTTATAAGCACTAATGATTACTTCAGAAGTAAACCACCAGTATTGCAAGGAAGCTAAGTGCTAAAAATTGTTCAACATGAGTTATCTGCATCCAAGATCATATTCACCTTCTAAGATTTAACTCCATGAAATTATAGTATTCTTAATAGAACTCTCTCATGCACATCAAGACTCCCTTAAAGGCACATGCATGGGTGGCTAGGCATGCATCTTTGAGATATGCCTTGCTTGAGACTATTAAGGCCCAGGGCCGGGTGCTTGTGTGCACCTGGATCCAGGTTTAATTGAGCCACACGTTTTACAACTATTGCATCTACATCAGCTAAGTTTTTGCTGCATCTAGTTAAAGATGATATACATTTGCTTTGAAGACTGTATACCATCACCAAATGGAAGTGTGATGCAAAAATACAAGCTGGAAAATTGTTCTAAAATTACATTGAAAGAGCTGCTCAAAGCCATTCTCGTGCAATTTACTAAATATTATGATTATTCAATTTTCTCCACTGTACAAATATGTATGTTATCTGGATTTGAGAAACACTGGACCATATTGAGCCAGAAAGTTGACTACAAGCTTCCCAAGAGTTATTAGGTATCACCTTGGCAACAGTTGTGGTACTTCATTATTTTTTTACTAGAGACTGCACTTTTGTCTTCCAACTTAGCATAAGTTTTCCAATAAGGGAATTAGAAAGATTCGTCTTCTTTTTATTATTGTCTATGTTTTAAATGCTCTAAAGCTTATCTTAATTTTGTTCACGTGTCTTCGGTCTTTCAGTTCAATTGAGAGTTATGTTTTACAGGTAAGCGATTTAGGAAATCTGATTCGCTTATACAGTGAATGGCACTCCCGCTTGCTGCCTTATTATTCGTTTGATCAATTTGTACATAAGACGGAACAAGTTGCTGCCACCAGACATGTAAAGGTAAACAAGTTTTACATTTTACCTGTACGTTTAAGGTCATTTGTTCCAGCTGGATAGTTATATACATTATGTTGATGAGGTTTTGTTCAGATGCAATTGAGGTACAGATTTAACCTTCTTTCTTTATATCTTACTAGTACATTGTTGCATAATATGCTCATGCACACATATAATTGCAATGGATTTCTCTTTACATTATTTTCCTGTTCATTTTTTGACCAGATGTGCCTCAGAGAGTTAAGAGAAAGAGTTGCCAGTGGAGGGGATCCAACAAAGTTCAATGAATTACCTACTGAACATGTTGGTCCAAACCTTGAACAAGGTATTCTGGTTATCTTGCCAATAAGGTGTTGGATGTAGTATATTTACACATTTTCAAAATTTCTTTAATCATCAAGTAGATATGTATTTTTTTATTATTGCTTGAGCTATAATATGGTGCAAATAATTTTGGAGGGACCAACCATGGGGACAAAAATTGAACACTACAATCTGATTATTTTTGGATAAATAAACTTTTTAAAAGTAAAAAGTTGAGAGCAGATCTATAAATGTTATCCCTCGTGCTTTTATTTTTAATTACCAATCAGTTAATATGTGTGTGTGTATAATTTGCTGATGCTTGAACTACACCTCAAATTTGTTGGGCTTACCTCAGTTTAAACAATTTGAACTGAATAAATTTGGTTTTAAGATAACTCAGTCCTGTTGATAATACTTGTTGAATGGATTGATTTTGATGATAACAAGGCAATGTGTCTTATTTTCTTATTGACATTAAATTTAACCATCTTTAAATGCTTTTGCTTATCAATTGACGTGTTCAATTGCAATTAAGATCTTAGTTCTGTGATAGACAACACTGCTTGCCCCTTTCTTGGTTTGTCATTTGTCCAACAAAAGGGGTTTAGACCTTTTTGGTAATATCAATCTTTCTTACGAATGGAAATCTCTCCTTTTTCTTTAATCCTGATGGTAACTTCCAACATCCATTTGATTATTGCTTTCACTATCAGATAACTTCTCATGTTTGTGCACTTGTGCGAGTTTTTTTTTTTTTTTTTTCAGTTTAAACAATTTGAACTAATAAATTCGGTTTTAAGATAACTCAGTCCTGGTTTGATAAATACTTGTTGAAATGGATTGATTTTGATGATAAAACAAGGCAATGTGTCTTATTTTCTTATTGAACATTAATCTTAACCATCTTTAAATGGCTTTTGCTTATCAAATTTGACTGTTCAATTGCAATTAAGATCTTAGTTCTGTGATAGACAACATGCTTGCCTTTCTTGGTTTGTTGTCATTTGTCAACAAAAGGGGTTTAGACCTTTTGGTAAATATCAATCTTTCTTACGAATGGAAATCTCTCCTTTTTCTTTAAATCCTGATGCGTAACTTCAACATCCATTTGATTATTTCTTTCACTATCAGATAACTTCTTCATGTTTGTGCAACTTGTGCGAGTTGGTTTTTTTTTTTGTCATTTCTTTCCTGAGTTTTTTTTTTTTTTTGTCATTTCTTTCTTAGTGATACCTGTCAAATTCTCCTAGATCATTCAACTCCTGCTGAAGCTGTAGGGCTGAATCAGACGGGAGGTCAATTTTTGAGGGACCATGATGTAAATGTTATGCAAGAAGATATGCTCCATGAGATTTATGATAGAGCTACTCAAGTAAGTGTTATTTCTTTTAATTTAACTGCTTTAATTCTATACCTCCTGGTTGTCACAGTTCTTTTGCTATATCTCTTTATCAAAAACTGGAACTTGTGTCTTGTAGAGTTGAATATTTCTTTTACGGAAGATGACCATTTGCATGTTATGAATACACTGATAATAACGGAAGCAACAGTCTTTGTGATGTTGTTTCTGATGTTTTTCTGTAGCTAATGCAATAAACTAAAACACCTAGAAGAGTGGAAATATGTGTAAATTAACTCTTCTACAATTTAAAAATCCTATCTGCATGCTCTTTATCTTTGGTGTACGAGACAACAAAATCTGCAGAAAATCCTACAAGATGGGCACATTAGCTCTGATTTAAGATTAAAATGTCCAGACAATCAAGCTTAAGTAGTATATGCTGATACCAGAAGTGTTTTTACCTAGTGTTTTTTGTTGCTCTATACAAACTGATACCAGAAGTGTATATGAAATTCTGAATTTATTAGTAATTGTCATTTAAATCTTCATTTTGCCTGGTATATTACTCGTGTTTGAGCAGTATTCATGAAAATCTATAAGCACATCAATGAAGACATACTAAAAGTTTGTGCATTGATGGATCAACTAATTGTTCCCTCAATGTAGTCAGCGATATTGTTGTTCTCTGTTAAATAATAGCACTAAAGTACTGGTCCTCAGAGGAAAGGCTCAAATGAAATGTTATACAATTGATTATTGATTTTGGATTACTAAGATGAACAATGTTGTGATATTCTTCCCTCGAAACGTTATAGTTTTGGCCTTATAAACCTTTTTATCCTGAATTCCGCGACTTATTACAATTGGAGTTCATTGTTAAATTTGTTACTATGGTACAGTTTGCTAGTTTGTGGTTATTACAATTGAATCTAATTTTTATTCATAAAAAACTTCACATTTTTAAAAGATAAAAATTTAAAAATAAAAAATAAAAATGAAAAATAGAAAGAGAAAAAGTTGCAGGACTAATTTGTATAAAGGATGAAAATTTTCTACATATTTTAATATTATAAACATTCAGCTCAAATCATGATAATCATAGTTTCATATTTTTTTTTGTATATTTGTAACCATGTCCAATCAAAAGATAAAAAACTAAAAACTATCAAATATATATGTGCTGAAAAAAAAAATTGTAAGTTGTCAAAAATCAACTTTATTGCTTTCAGTTTTCAATTTCAGTTTCCATTTCTTTTTAATTTTTCATTTTTTTCATTTCTGAATTTTAATCTTTTGAAAATATTAATGTCTCTTAGCTTGTTTGAATAAAGATTGGATTTTATTAATCCAAACTTTTGTTATCTTTCATTTTGTGTTTAAATTTTAGGTTTTTTTTTTTTTTGAATTTTTATCTTTTAAAAAGGTGAAAATAATCTGTTATTATGTTTGAGTAAAAATTAAATTTAATTGACTTAAAAATACTAACATTATCTCAATCTGGTCCTAAATTTAAAATTGGGAATGGAATTTTTCCAACATCTATTTCAGGTTGCAATTAATTCTAAACATACTATTCTTCTTTCTTCAATCTTAAGAATAATTTTTGTACTTTTCTTACTTTTATCCAATTTTATGCATTGCTATAGATGTTGTAGGATTTAAAAGTACAATTTGTTTGTTCTTTTGTTGGCTTTGAAACCTATTTCTCATGCTAATATACATTCAAGTTCCAAGAATACCTCTAGCCAAACTGCATATTTTGATGCATTTCATCTGTGTTTCAGAATATCGTGATTTTAATGCCATCTTAGCAATTTTAGTCTAAGAAAACTCAGATAATTAGATGAGCGTGCATTCGTACCAACAATTAAACATGTGATTTGAACCTCTGTTTAAGTTCAGGCAATGTAATTTAGTCTCTGAAATTGACATATTTGCTTATATTTAACAGAGTTTTCTGTCGATCCTATCCTAATTGCAGGAACCTCAGAGTAGCATGGAGCCACCAACTGAAAGCTTGTCTAATGAAGTTGTGATTACAGATGAACAGAAAGCACGAATGGAAGCTAACCGGTTGAAGGCACTAGAAAGAGCTGCAGCTCGAGCACGCTCATTGCAGTCAAGTTGATTTTCATGTTTAAGCATTTAACTATGTATAAAAGTGGCTCAAATGGATGTGTTAAAAAGGGTTTAACTATTACAAACTTCCAATTACTTATTGTTCTCAAAATGATTATTTTAAATTCTTAATCCATAAGAATTCCATAAACGAATCTATCAGATAGAAGTGAATGCCCATGTGTACAATTTGATACATGATTTTATCTTTTCTCTCCCATTGTTTATCACTGTTTCTTTTCTTCTCTTCTTCTCCATCCTCTTTTGACCTTTACTTAAAATGCTTGTCTCCTTTTTTTGTACAAATGAATTTGAAGTATAGAATTCATGGATTTAGTTTAATTATGTTGAAATATTTTATAAGTATAAATTCATTTAATGACGAAAATGTGCTATCGAAGCCAGATTCAAATCGGTCAGTATAGGTGTGGTTGCCTCGCTTATTTGCTGTTTCGTCCTATTTACTGATCGGAATTTTAACCGTTAGCGACCGATTCGGCGGTCGCTGAAAACTAGGTTAAAACTTATACTTCCTTTCACGCTGCTCAACACTGCTAAGTGCTAACCTCTTCGTTTCTCTCTTCTAACGCCGCTGAACCTCCAGCCAATCCTTTTGCCGCCAGCAGCTCGCTGTAAGTCAAACAGTGGTCGATCGCCCCGCCGGTAGGGAGGGTTCCTTGCTCGGCCAACTTCTCCACAGGTTTTTTTATCGCGAATTTTTTCTTAATCTTGTTGGGTTTGCAATGAGTTGGGTTTCTTAATTTTTTCTTAATTTTTTTTTTTTTTTTTTTTTTTTTTTTTTTCGAATTTTTTCTTAATTGTGGGTGTGCAAGAGTTGGGGGTTTCTTAATTTCTGTAATTTTTTTTGTTTTTTTTTTTTTGTTTTTTTTTTTTTTTTTTTTTTTTTTTTGTATGAACAATCAGACTTGCTTTCCAGCATTTGAAAATAGAAAATAACGATAAGGATGAACAAAAGATCAATACAATCCTTCTGTATTGAAAGAAAAGTTAAAGCTTAGCAAGCATAACAAAAATTAAGGGGAACAAAAAAGAATAATCTGGGAATGTTGGATCAGAATTGAGAGATTTGCAGATGTTTAAATCTGTAGAAACGAAAAGGTTATGTTGATATGATGGAGTATTAACCTTATTGGCGATGAACGATGAGGAAGGTGGGTTAGAAAATGGTAGAGGAAGCCATGACCACTGTAGGTGATAATTTTAAGAGGGACCTTCCTTCTTGAGTTTGCCAAAGTTGTTGGGTTTAAACTTAGAATTCATCCTTAAACTTAGGTGATATTTAATAAAATTGAAAATGAAAAATTAGATTAAAAACATGAAAATGCATAATTAGAATGATAAATATGGTTATATAACACAATTTATATGAAAAGAAATTAAGGATGTAAAGAAATAAAGGATAGTATACCTGTGACGTGGAGGTCATGGATTGGAGCCACAGAAACAGTCTCCCTACAAAAAAAAAAAAAAAAAAAAAAAAAAAAAAAAAAAAAAAAAAAGGGAAAGATTGCGTATGCCAATCCTCTTAGCAGTGGCAAAAAATACTGCTGATTACACTGAAAAAAAAAAAAAAAAAAAAAAAAAAGGGAAAGATTGCGTATGCCAATCCTCTTAGAGTTCAAAAATATGCGATACACTGAATAGCTTCTTATTCAATAAATTTTATACCTAATTATAAAAAAACAAAAAACAATTATCAAAAAATGAACATCAAGTAAAATTATAAGTTTGATTGGCTAGGTGTGCAATGGCATTTACTATGGTTATGAAAAGCAAGAAGAGCTTTGTTGTCCATGTGAAGAGAAGATAAGAAAAGTGAGCTTCAATCCTTAAGTCTTCTATCACTTTTATTATAATAAAAGTCATAATTTTTTCTTTTCGATCCTCTCCATATGTAGCAGAAAAAGGTTGATTGGCGTGAATTAAAAAATTGCTACCCAGCTAAATTAACATTTTGATGACGCTTGTAAATTGAAAATGTGCTTTGTGAAATGTTAATTTTGTTCGATAGCAAGTTTTTATTTTTGAGATATAGTTTTTCTGTGAAATACCAGTTTGCTTTACCTGAGCTTGTTATTGAATGCCTAATTATATATAAACTTGTTTCCTTTTCTGGTATTATTCAATTTGTTATTTCACAAATGCAAGTGCAAAATGAAAACCACCAACATAAAAAAAAAATGAAAAAAATGCCTAAAAAAAAATGTTGGGTGGCTTTGTAAATAGCAAAAGTTAATATTATTAGGCCCTTTTATTATTCTTATTCCACTCCTAAACATTGAAAACGAACAATACAAGGCTGCCAACCGGTATAAGAACTTTTCTCAGCAGAATGCGCTCAAGCGGAAAAAAACAGAAGTGCGTTAGAGACATAGCTTGGGGGAAAGGTCAACGGGGAAAAAATGCTAAGTGCTTACAATTCTTGAGGAATAAGCGAAGCAAGATCGACAGTAAGAGAGTTGGTCCATCTCGCCATATTGAGGAATCTATATCCGATGCAGAGCACACACGACACTTAGTAAGTTCTGTATGTTTCTGATTTCATGCTAATTTTCGTTACATTTTTTTTTTTTAAATGCTTTGTCAACTACTTATCAGGCTACACCATCTGGACTTGAACCTTTGAGCAAGGAGGTATTCACTTACACTCAGATGAGGAAATATGAAGGACAGGCAGTTGTTGACCATCCCTCTCAAAGTGTTGTGGTAAGTTTTGAAGTATTATACCATAAATACTCTTGTGTTAGTTATATAATGGCCATTTATTATAGTTTTGTCTATATCTATGTTGCACAAAAACTTTCTTTGGCCGCCGTTTATGTATTTCGGATAGGTTTCCTGCACGGGAATATTTGGAAACTCTTTAGAAATGTTTCGGAGCCGTTTTCGCAAATTGGATGATTTGAAAACACATTTTCCTCCTTGAAGTACGATAGCTGTAAACTAGAAACTCTCAAAAACTCATTTCTCTAATTAAAATAAATACATAAATAAATGCAAATTCACAAATATCTATTTTTATGAGTATGAAACTTATAATTCTTTTAGATATGATTAAATGTTGATTGGAGTTGACTTCTTCTTGAATATATTTAATAGTTTATAGTAATTTATTTTATATATATATATAAATTTAACCTTATATTTTTCATATTTATGCATTTTCCAACATTTCCGTCTTCCTATATTTTAAAAAACACCATTCTCCATGTCCGTTTCCGCGCTTCCACGTTTCCGTTCCGTGCAACATAGGTCTATGTTATTATCCTAATCATTGTAATCAATCTTATCTAGGATGATTACAATTCTCTATCAGAGCAACATTCTGCACAGCAAACTGATTCTGGACCTGATTCCTCCATTAATGAGAGAGAAATATACTTGGAGGACGTTGATGAAGGCCAGCGGAAGCGCAAGGTGTCGGTTTACTACAGCCATTCAAGCTCTGCCTCTGACAGTGCTACATCGCCATTGTCTGCGCAGGATCTTGCTATGAAAGAGCAGTATCGTGAGATGAAAGAGCAGGTGGAGAAACAAGGAGAACAGATAGAGCAGCTTAAAGAGATTCTGCAGGCACAGATTATGCGAAGGTTGCCTAGATGTCCGCAGGTAAAGGAGATGGCGCAGAATATGCAGTTATTGCCTAGCCAGCCTCCAGTTAATTCTGCTTCTGGAGAGGACACCAAGCCTACAGTAGCTAATGACACAACTGGGGATGTTCCTTAGTTACTTTCTCTATAATTCTGTTCTTAATTCTGAATATTACAACTATGTACGTTTGAACTTGTGTATGTTTTCTACTTGTATTGTTTGTGATTCCTGCCAATGAGTATGTTATAATTATTACAGATTATGCTTTCTACTTTTATCGTACTTGTGCTGACAAGGAAAACGAGGGAGCAATCACTGGAAGTGATGATGAGGTAGTAGGAGACATGATTTGTTGAGAATGGGTATGGGTTTGGGCTTTAAGGAATGCAACGGCGTTTTTACATATTTTTTGATGTATTGAATAGAACATCAATTTAAATAATAAAAATTACAGTGGAACTTCAATTACATTACACTAAAAATTAAGGTCAATTTAAATAATGTAATCAACCATATAATATAATTTTCGTTCCATTATATGATTGATTACAATACACCATACATGGTTTTAAGGTTTTACACGAATTTTCAATGGGTTGTAAGTTTTGCCTCCTGAACGATGTTCAGATATCTTTCTTCACCTCCTCCCCTATGGATTGTTTTTTAATTTATTTGCTTATTACTTGGACATTATCCTATATATTTATCATATGATTGTTGCAAGTTTTGCCTCCTGAACGATGTTCAGATATCTTTCTTCACCTCCTCCCCTATGGATTGTTTTTTAATTTATTTGCTTATTACTTGGACATTATCCTATATATTTATCATATGATTGTTGCAAGTTTTGCCTCCTGAACGATGTTCAGATATCTTTCTTCACCTCCTCCCCTATGGATTGTTTTTTAATTTATTTGCTTATTACTTGGACATTATCCTATATATTTATCATATGATTGTTGCAAGTTTTGCCTCCTGAACGATGTTCAGATATCTTTCTTCACCTCCTCCCCTATGGATTGTTTTTTAATTTATTTGCTTATTACTTGGACATTATCCTATATATTTATCATATGATTCTCTTTCTTAATTTCTTCTTTTTTTTTTTCTTTCTTTTTTTAAGAGAACAAACATACACATAGGTAAACCAAATGAATATTTCATAAATAGTAGATTCTACTTACCTCCTGTAGTGCAGAATCTCTCACCATCTTCCTTTATTTTTCATGAATGAAACAGTGGAATACCGTTTATCTTTTCCCTGAATCACCCAAAGCCTTCTGTTATTTGACCTTTGTTAAAGCTAGAAACCAAGTCTGTGTGGGTAGACTTTTCTAGTGAGAAGAAGAGGGAGAAAGAACTGTTTTAAGGGTGTGTTTTCTTTGATAGGTAGAAAACACGGTAAATAGACTTCTATACCTTGTCTTCCGCGAACAGAACGATTGATAAGACTCGTTGTTCTGTTCTAAACGCAGTTTGCTTAAAATTTAAAACGAAAAGAATATTTTATTTTAAATAAAATAAAATCTTTTCATTTATTAAATATTAAAAAATATCTCACACTGGCTCCTATTAATGCAGACACAATAGAGATCATAGGAATAAAATTAATAAGTCTATTAATTATAACAAAAACATTTACTAGAACTAGTAAATTCTTATTATAATTAATTATGAATTATTCCACTAACAATCCATAATTTAACTCTTTATTAATTTCAAATTTTCAAAACATAACTATTTATAAAACACCTCATGTTAAGATTTCATATGCATTGCCTATATAAGATTTTCTCATGCATTGCTACTATATATATATTATAGTTAGTATGATATAATATATATATATATATAGTTATATAATATAATATATATATATATATATATAAAAGCGGAAACAAAGAGAATTTATATATAAAGCTGAAACAAAGAGAAAGTTTTAGAGTTTTTTTGTTTTTTAGCTACATTTTTTTTGGCCTTACATGAAGCTATTGTTGATTGGAGACCACCCAGGAATGTCACAGAAGTCTGAAGTTTTCTGGGTTTAGCCGGCTATTATAGAAGGTTCGTAAAGGGATTCTTTATCATTGCATCACCATTAGCAAGATTGTTGAAGAAAGAGGTTGTATTTCAATGGGATAATAAGTGTCGGCAGAGTTTCGACACTTTGAAGAAAAAGTTGACTAAAGCACCAGTGTTGACCTAGCTAGTGTCAGGTAAAGAATTTGAGATTTATAGTGATGCCTCTCATACTGGGTTAGGATATGTACTCATGCAAGACAGGAAAGTGGTGGCCTATGTATCTAGACAGTTGAAGCCACATGAATTGAATTATCCAACCCATGATTTAGAACTAGCAGCCATTTTTAATCATTATTTTTATAGTATCATTTTTTTTTCTAAATAAGGATTAATATCAAACTAATATTTAAAGGATTTTTTAAATAATTTAAATTATATATAAAAAAGAATAATCTCAAACTGATTTACCTGTAAATTATTTCAAATTAATTATCAGTTCGTTGGATTAATACATAATGGATAGGACTCAGCACTGGGCCAAGGGGGCAATGGGTCCCCCTTAAATTTTTAGAAAAAATTTAAATACCAATTTTTTAGTTAAAATACATAAATTAGTTTCTAAATTCATAGAGTGTTATTTATTGTGCCCTTAAATTTTTATTTATCAATTTTAAGCTCTATAACTTTAATTTTGATAAAAAAAAATTGGCATTTTCAAATGGAAATTTAATGGCATTGATGAAAAAATAGATCCAGTCTGACATTTGAAATTCTAATATTTTAAGTAAGTGAAAATTTTGATATTGATATATGGAATAATAAAAGGGAAAGAAAGAAATAAATAAACAACATGTTATAAATATATATTTATATATATAGTTATATTTATTTATTTTACAATATTAAATAATCAATATTTTTTAAAGAAAAATGAGGACAATTTATTATTATTTTAAAATTTTATCAAAAACACCTCCAATTAAGTTTCAAAATAAAGTTAATCATTTATTAATACTCAGCGCGTGAAGCGGGGAATTATAACTAGTTAAATTAGATTATTGACAATTTATTTAATTAGCAATTTAGAACCTTAAGACTATTGCTTAACTTATTTTACGTGTCGGATTCAATTAATTAGCAATTTAGAACCTTAAGACTATTGCTTAACTTATTTTACGTGTCGGATTCAAAATTCACCTGTAGAATTTACACAATGAAAACTTATAATCTTACTAAGGAGAATCATCATTCTCTATACCCAGACATGGATTTTATCATCAATTAATATTTTACAAATGCACACCGCCTTTGTTCAATTTACCACTTTTATTATTCTAAAAATAAAACTTACTTTTTAATGAATCAAAACAAAGATAGACAACATACATTTGACCACATTAATTGAATCAAGATTAAGAGTATAAATATTATTTCTAATGCCTCAGAGAATCTTGTTTTATTAAGTCAGTATAAAAACCATATTCTCAATTAACTCGATCCAGTTCATACATACAAAATGCACTAGCACAAGAAGTTGAAATTCTACCATTCCCATAATCAAGATAAACACATATAATCTTGTGCTACAGTCATATTGGTAGTGTGTTAATTCAACCTTAGACTGTGAACTAAACTTTATATCTTATATGAACTGAAGATTTAATCTTCTATTTATGAGTTAATCTCTATCCTTTAAATCAATCACAAGTATAAGATCAGTGACACACGTTATTATTAAATATATTGCAAAATAATTTATTAAACACAAATCTCAAATTCAATATATTAAATAATTTTGTGCTACAGTCATATTGGTAGTGTGTTAATTCAACCTTAGACTGTGAACTAAACTTTATATCTTATATGAACTGAAGATTTAATCTTCTATTTATGAGTTAATCTCTATCCTTTAAATCAATCACAAGTATAAGATCAGTGACACACGTTATTATTAAATATATTGCAAAATAATTTATTAAACACAAATCTCAAATTCAATATATTAAATAATTATTCAAAAATAATCATTCATCAAACTATATTATTACAATATGCATGGTTAATAGTATAACTCTATCAATTAATTGACCCCATAACACACCAGCTCACATCCATATGATCATTCTTTGGTCATTCATCCTTATTTTTAGAATCTTAAGTTGAAAGATTGGTTGTTGAGACAATGTCCTTCCCATCTCACTGCAAACTTGAAAGAATTTGGTATGGTTTTACAATTAACGGATTATTGATGGATCCTCAGAGCAATTCGCGCTATCAGCAAGCCCAAGGTCTGCCAAGTAGATTTTTTTCACTCTCGGAACTGCATTAGTCGACCACACTCAATCAAAATCTAGAGAAGGTCAAAATTGACAATAAAAGATAAGTAAAAATCATTCATCAATAAAATTACAAATATTAGCTAAATTTGAAAAAAAAAAAAAGAAAATTTAAGCTCTTTTTATTGATTAAGAAAAAAAAAAAAAAACATTCACGTTTGTTGCTAATATTGTGCTTGTCAATACGTCGTGTCATTGGCAAGTTTGAGTAGGATTGTCGTATGATGGAGAAATAATGTAGAGAATACTTAAAGTATGATGAGCATTTAGTAAATTTCCAACTAATGTGATCGCCAAAAAATTAATGATGCATGTTCTATTCACATATATAGAGTGAACTAACTAACAAAAATGGAGTTAATTCAATTCATGCCTTATCTATGGTTCCCCTTATATATATATATATATCATCCAAAAATCAAACCCTATTACAGTATACGGTAAGTTACATTTATTAAAAGAATCTTATTCATAAGATAAAGTGATGCGTAATTTTTTAACATGGACATGATTTTCAAAAAGAATTAATAGGTTTATTTAACCATCTCTCTAAGAAGAAAAATATAATTTGAAATATTTACTCAAACTATTAAATATTTAAAATATTTTTTTTATTTCTGTTTTTATGAAATAAAATATTTATTTTTTTATCTTTTATATATAAATATATTGTTTTTATTATTTAATGAAAACTAAAATAATGATTCAAATAATAATAATTTTTCATTGAGCATCGATGATTAAAATTTACCTCTTTCAATACTAATAATTGTTTACACCATATTTAATTTTTATATATTATGGACTTGACTTGTAGGTTTATAATTTATTTAGGATTAAAATTAATTGATTAGGCCTTTCAATATTGAAGGCCCATAATTAATTAATTTTGAGTAAGT